ATCGCAAACGGCAACTGAAATCCATCGGGCATCGTCCCCCACAATCATACGGGTACAAAACCATTTATGAGATCACGCAAGCACATCAAGCCAATTATTGTCTTTTGCTTAGGCCAATGCAAGAGTGTTTCATGCTCACATGATTAGAACATTTAAAATCCCGCACACATAAAAATGCACTAAAATCTGAAGCATTTCATAAGCAAACCATACAAAATTAATACATAGGCTTCCTCTTCCTAGAACAAGAATAACAAAGCAAGACAAGCATTAGCATCACCCAATGATGATTCCAATTAACCTTTCATACCTACACAATCCATCCATAACGATTGCTAGCCAAGGATAGCCACACACATGATGCAACAAGCTCAACTAAGACTAAACCTAAGTCCGACATGCGTAGAATAACGTCTTATCCACGGATTATAAGAACTACTTATGAAACCGGTTGGACTACGGACGAACGGCGACGGTGTTGAGCGGACGACACAGTGACGACGACAAATAGATGACGCGGCAGCGGCGACGACGAACGGACGGTGTGGCAGCGGTGAGGCGACGATGAGGTGGCGGTGAGGTGACAAGCGGTAGCACGGCGAGAACGGCGGCACGGCGACGGCAAACGGTCGAACGATGCGGTGACGGCAAGAGGCTCGGTGGACGACGCGACGATAAGGAAAGCACGACGCGGTGGTGAACTACGGTGACGAAACGGCTCGGCGACAGATGGCTGCATGGCATGAACAACACGGCGAGGGGCACCGCACAATGGCGAGCGGTGCGGCGGCAAGGAGAGGGCGTGAAAGGGAGAGAGGGAGGGAGAGAAAGAGAGAAATGAGAGTGAATGAGAGAAGTGAGAAGGTTTCCCCTTAAGTAATCTTGCAAGAAGACTCCAATAATGCAAGTGCATTAATGACCCAACCACCAAGCCTAGCCTAGCTCCTTAATTTGCTTTCAACCAAGCAACTTCATGGACAAGAAACCATCTTGGAAGTCTTCTTCAACAAGCCTCTCCTTTAGGCAATCATGACTAACAAAGTAGGCTCAAGTACTTAGTTAGGGACTAACTAGGGGAACCAAACTAGAAACCAACCAAGTCGATCTCTTCCCTCTTTCCCAAAGTGGCGCCCAAATCATTCAAAACAAGACCCAATTTGGTCTTTTCCAAAACAAAGCTTCTAGAAGTTGCATTAGAAGCTAAATTATAGGTTAACAAACATAGAACACTAATCATGCACAAAGCAAATTAATGTGCAATCTTCTAAAAATCATCAAAGGGTCAAATGTGGGCTAGAATGGGCTTTACCCTCTTAATTGGCGCCTACTCCAGGCCGAATAAGTCCAATGGGCTAGACATGGGCACGGGTCTTCGTTGGGCTTCTAGTGCTTGGCTCGTGTCCACTTGATCAAAGATTAACGTCCAAAGATGCGTAATTAAGCGACGTCAAATTTAGGATGTCACAGTCAGCCTTGTTCTTTGGCCCTTATGTCCACAAAGCCTAAGGGGAGAATTTGCGCAACCTTTAGGATTGGCTAGAACCATAAAGGCCGCGACCGAGTGCCGAGGTTGGGACCCAGCCTTAGGCAACCTCGGCAACCTTGGATCAAAGGTCACGAGATCAGAGGTCTAGACTATCATACTACGATTTGGCGAGTTTAGATAAAGAGGGAGCGTAAGCCAGATGGGAATGATTGGAATGAGATGGGAATGGGCGACAAAGGTGTGTCGGCTCGTGTGAGGCCCACGACGATGGCTGGGAGGCACTACGACGTCGAACGACGGTGGAGTTCACGCTCTGTTCTCAGTTGCGCAAAGTGAACTATTGCGACCACCGTCGTTCTGATATTGCTCAAGATTACGACCACCACTGATGGGCGCCTTTCAAGGCCACCACCACCTCACTCTTCCCTCTCCTTAAATCTTTTCCCCTATGTCTTCGATGGTTTGGCTCACTTTTCTTCCTTTTTTTTTTAATTTTAACCATATAGCATAAATCCCATCTAGGAGGAAATCCTACCAAAGTGTATCGCACATCCTAAATTGAATTTTTTTTTATGTATTGCCCCAAACGCTTGATAGTATAAAAAGTTAACCTATCTTGACTTATATCCGATCCATCAAAAGCAGCTTGAAGAAGGCCATCACGCAAATTCCCCTCCTTTATATTAGTTTCAAGAACTTTTCTCATAAGTTGTCTTGCCGACATGATGTAATGAATCGATTAGAATTGGCGCATGATATAAATCCCTACTTGTGTCTCTGAGTTTCAAGAAATCCCCCATCTTGTATCGACTTGCTTCTCGACGTATCATTGCCGCGTGATATAGTTAGCACGCACAATACCTTCTAAGGTAGAGTTGCCATGTGATGCCTCCCTCGCTAACGAACTCGGAAACAATTAACAATACCCCTTTCCTAGGACCAGGCAAACTCTTCTGGTGCAAATCCACAGGACAAGAATCGTAACCTTGCAACATCGGCTTTCTAAGCCGTGATCCAAGATTGGTGTGGCTCTAGTTTGTGTCTAGGTTAGTTATCCTAGACTTGAACTCGACAAACTTGTTTAGATTCGAGCACGACTCTCGACCAAAGTTGAGTTCTTAAATGGGAGATCAGAACTTCACTTAAATAACTACGTTTACGTGGGATCTGAAACGTTACTGAAATTGGTTTGGATTCCCTCGCTGCATATTCACAATAAAACTGTTTCTCAAATCAAATGATAAAGTCGCATCGACCTCATAATACAATCATTTTAGCTATATATGACTATAGTTTATTTGGGTTTCGAGGTACCTACCATTATAATGCTAAAATATTATAAGATGTTTTAAAGAAAACTTACACTTGATTATAGTATAACCTTGATTGAATGGTTTGGCATGCTATACACCACGTGGATTATAACTAGAATGCAAATTTCTCTTCCTTCAAACATCACCTTGATGGGAGTAATTGCTGCAGAGAATCTTGTTCTTCTTGTCCACGATAGATTCCTTTGAGGTTGGATAGTAATTGCTGTTCATATTCTTGTACTTCGCTCCACGTTTGACCCAGCTCATGTCCAAGGGTAAGTCATGTACTCTCTCCTTTTGTCTACATGGACTTGATTGAGGTTGATATTTTTAAGGTAGTCCCACATCGGACCCAACAGTCTTACGAGAGAGTTACAGATTGTTACAGCTCCGATCCAGAGCTGGTGTGTGAAGGGGAAATTGTTGAGGTTGTCCCATATCGGTTGTGGAAGAGGCTGGTAGTCGGTTTATAAATATGAGGGAAAGTCTCACCCTTTGAGTTAGTTTCACCTTTTGAGTTAGCTTATGGGGTGAAAGAGGCTCAAGACCACCTAATAAATTTAACTATACTCGAAGTCGAGCCTCTCTATCTTTTTTGGTCTAAATCATATCTATTCATCGTCTTCAGATGTGCAGTCATTTTGGCAACTTAATTGAAAGCTTGCACTGATCATGTATAGTGCGATTTACAGGAGAAAAGAGATTTTATTGAGGGTTTCTTGATTTGATATGGCTGGACGAGTCATGTCACCAACTTCTTCTGTCGAATCCTAGCTAGAAGGAAAGGACGATGCATTTTAGGAATACCAAGTCCATCAACTTCCATGGTGCCGAATTGTTTGGCAGATGGGGTAAACTCATGAGGATACCTCTCTTGGTTATAAAAAGTATGGGTGATTGGTTCCAGAGTGAGTAAATTCCAGACTTGAAACTTGGAACCTACCTTGTTATAACCGGTTTCCAGTTTTTGTAACGTAAAACCTATCCTATTTTCCCTTGAACTTGTTTTGAAACCTGCCTTATTTTTCCGATCCAGTTCTAAGGCTACCCAAGAACCTATTTTTCTTTTGTTCTTTTTTCTGGTTTCATTTTTTTCAGTAAAATAATATGAACAGCAATGAAACGATTCAAAGTAAAAGATAAATAATAAAAATTACTATCCGCCAAAAGCAACAATCCCTAATATGAGCAATAGTAATTACTATTCACCAAAAGAAACAATTCAAAATATAGTAATAATATGATCTAGGGTTATTTTTAACACAAGCTAAAAACCGGTTCCAAAACCAATTGGATCGGTTCGGGTCCCGGGTGGATCTTCACTTGGAACCGAGAACCGGACCAATTCCAGCCGGTTCCAAAAAAATGGAACCGGTTCCCAAACTGATTCAAACAAGAATCGGTTCCCGGACCTATTTTTCGGGTGGTCTAATCCGATTTCCAGGTAAATCCGGTTCGGTTGCACACCCCTAATATAGAGGAAATGAGAAAGAGGGAAAAAGTTTCAATAAATGATTAGCTAACCGAAAACAAAATGTTATTAATTTGCGTTTGTTTCACTAAAAACTTTATCATATAAAAGAATATTTTTCATGAAAATCATTTTCATGAAAATAATCAAATTTCATTTATTTGGTGATTTAGAAAAAGCAAGCAAGAAGGAAATCTCTTTCCCTCAATTTAAGCTTCTTATTTCACGTTTTCTGTAAATCAATTACTATTCGGCCATCCAAACACCGAAAATTTGAAAAATAATTTTTCGAAAACAGTTTTGCTTTAAACAAGCGGACCCTAAGTAATCCTAGAAATTGAGACAGTCCAAAATTTGCCAGTGGCGTTGATCTAGGAAATAAATCATTTTCACTAATTCCCCCCCTCCACCCCTCTCTCACTCTCTCTCGAAAGACAGATCCTTCCAAAGGAATAACTTGCAAATTATTTGCTTCTCAAATCCTTCTGTACCGAACATAGCGAGGTAACTGGTGGGAGCATATTCATGTGCCTCTCTTTCACGCTCACGAGATACACTATCCCTCTTTTTCCTTGAGAAGAGGACGAAACAAGTTGGAAGAATATAGTAATCAAGGGGAATCCCCCCGTTCGTTGGGCCATCAAAACTTTGGGAACAATCATCGAAAGTTGATTTTGCCCACACTACAATATGCACATTTAAAGAAACATAAAGTTGGTTGAGCTTCTCCTTTGTGAACTGCCCATGTGTTCGAGGGGGCCACACGAAATAGTTTCTTTGTATATATATACTAAACGGACTTTACAAAGGAGACTTTCTCCTAATATCTTAATGGCGTGTACACCTTGCAATTTCAAACACACAGCAAATCGTGGCATTATTGAGGGAAGGGGGGAATTTGTTGTCAATTGGGGACCCCCCAAGAAAACTCAAAAAGGCAGGACTTATTACATGCCCTTTTGCTCTTTGGACACAAGATGGTCATCACCTCCTTCAAAAGAAAAAAAGAAAAACAGAGGAATCTCTCTCTCTCTCTCTCTCTCTCTCTCTCTCTCTCTCTCTATTCTTTAGCTTGTGTGAGCTAAGTTAGGCTCGTATGGCATAGAGTCTGGCTTTTGGAGCTGAAAATGCCTAAACTTTGGTTAGGACCCAAATGGTGCTCTATGAGGGATGCCCTTTCTTCTCCTTGCGCTTGAAGGAACGAGTGGAAGAGACTTTGGTGGGTTCTTGTCTCTTCTTGAGCTCTCATGCAATTCTTCTCTCTCCCTCATCGAGACCCTCCTTGAGCTTTTGCCTTCTCTAATCTTCCCAGTTGTCTTCTCATCATTCTTGGCCTCCCTGGCGAAGCTTCTTGGATCATCCCCATTTCCCTTCATTCCTGCAATCTGAGGTGTCCCAAGAAAACAAATACTAATGAATGGAAAAAGAAGAAGCATTAGGGCAGGTAATAAAAGTATAAATTAATGATGGAAGTGATGCCATGGATCTATGATTGATTGATTGGAGGGAAAAAAAAGTTCACAGATTCCCTTGTGTTGCATGAGATGATGATATTGTAATGAAAGATAAAGAATGGTGGTGGTGGGTTAGGTGATGGTGATGGATTGTGAGGGTGGGGGTCATGATGATGGAATAAGATAACCACCATATGATGGGGTTTGGGAAGGATGTTGACAACATCATCAACTGTGAGAGGAAAGCAAAGAATCAAAAGGGAAACTACATGAAGAGATGCTAATTTGAATTAGTCAATAGAATCGAAATGTTCATTTGATTTTACCTTACAGCCCAATGAACAGAACCTGAAAGGATCCAAGAGGCTCCTTCTGCAGACCTCACACGCATGAGCTATTCTGTTCCCAGATTTTGGCTGAGGCCTCTCGTTCAGGAAAATCACTCTCGCACTGTTGATCACATATGTCTGGACTCCGCTTATGTCCAGCACCTTCTGAATCTCCGAAGCCCTCACCACGTCATGATATGAAGATCTCCTTATCTACAAAATCCCCCACCAAAAAAAAGCACAGAAGAAAATGAATAACGCAAGCAACAGAAACCCAATGAAAAGAGTAAATTGTGAACCCGTAGAACAAGCTGTGTGGCAGGCCTTTCGGCAGAAATGTATGGTTTTTCAAGGTTTCGAAATGGAGCTAAAATGGCAGAACCTGAAGGACTTGATGGTCCTTGTGGCGCGACGAGTGGCAATAGAAGCAGATCGCGTCGCCGCCACTGCAGTCCAAGCAGTACATGTTGCACTCGCTCCTTGCCGCGTCCCTGTGCGTCGAGCAGGTGGTGAAGAATGTGGTGCCCAGCAATGGCTCCACCCATTGCGGCACCGACATCTGACGAAGCCGAGGCCGATCTCTCTAGCCGAAATTCCAAGGAAAACCTATGTCGGTACGAGGGTTTCTGAGAGAGAGAGAGAGAGATTGCTGTGATAATCCTCTAGCTAGCCCCACAAGAGCAACATTGCCAATTCAGAAGAGATGATCACCATCTTCATAGCCGAAACTCATCAAAGAGAGAGAGAGATGAAGAATTGCAAATGGAGAGAGAAAGAGAGGGATGAATAAACGACCTTCAGAGCTTAATACAAGAATTATTTTGATGCATACAAGAGACAAGAGGGCTCATAAAGCAAATGGGGGCAACACCGCCGAATCCGACGGCTCAGATAGGGCGGGGTGGCTGGGATCGATCCACAGCCATTGGATGGGGGGAGAGAGAGAGAGATTGGGTTTAGGTGGGTTTGGCACTTGCGCTGCTTTGGGGGGCTTTCTTTTGCGTCTCTGACGTAGGGAAAGGGTCAGCCCCAGGCCTACGTAATGTCATAGGCAAAGGCTTGGCTTTTTCCATGGAGTTGAGCCTTTCCCCGCCTAGGTTAGTGCCACGTGTAGCCATCCGACGTGGAACAATCTCGTCCGTCTACCTTGCGATTGACATTTTGAAGACCCCATGATTCCTTTGATTTCATCTCGACTCGCGCGTTGACACTATCGGCTTGGATGTGAAGAAATATATATATATATATATATATATATATATATATATATATATATGAGGTTTCCCACTTGGGCCTTTGTTTATGCCATTACCAATCGAGCTATTTTTTTTTTCTTATACTTTCATAAGAGCAATTATATATAGAATGAAGTAAAAAATATATATGTCTACTGAAAGTCCTAAAACTTGTTATGAAAATACAATTGAATCTTAAAACTTGCAAAAAGTGTAATCAAGTCCTAAAACTTATTAAATTAGTGCAATCGAGTCATTCCATTAATTTCGTCCAACTTAACTAACACAAAATATTGACGTGGCTTTTTTTAATTTTTTTTTTCTCTCCTACATGACAATGATGTGGCTAAAACACGAAAACAAAAGGTTAAAACGTTGTTGTTTTGGTCCAAATCTATTTTTAAATACAATTTTTATTTAAATTAATTTTTTTAAAAAAGAGGTTAGCAGGGGAGGAAGTGTTGGACTAGGCAGTGAGGGCCACTTCCGCACCATCGTCGACCCTTCCCAGCAATGGTGGGGCAGCGATGGCCCCACCATTGCTAGGAAGGGTCGACGATGGTGGGGAAATGGTTGGCACGGTTCGCCAATCCTTCGCCCGGCAATCATTCCCCCAAACCGTGGTGGTGCGGCGGCAGCGTTGGCGAGGGCTATCGCTTGGTCCCGCCCTCCTTCCCCCCTCCTCCCCCCCTCTAATTTTAGCTTATTTTATTTATATTGTTTTGCATTAAAAAATAGATTTAGATCAAAATAATGTCATTGTAGACACGTCATCTTCACGTATGAGAGAGAAAATATTAAAAAAAAATCACGTCAACATTTTTCATTAGCCAAATTGAACGGAGTTAACGGAAGGATCCAATTGCACTAATTTGACAAATTTTAGGATTTAATTGCATTTTTTACAAATTTTAAGACTCAATTGCATTTTCATAAACAAATTTTACGATTTTCAATGAACATATCCCAAAGTAAAAAGTACAAGTAACGCGCAATGGATTTTATTTCAATGATACACGCGATGGAGGGACGTCATTTAGTTAGGAGGTACTGAATTGATTGCATATGTATTAGGTGATCGACTTTTCTTGAAGCGTATTGAGTTATCGCCTTAACCTTTTTGCAAACATGTATAATGGAATTCGAAAGCCACTCTTATTTTTTACAATATTGTTCTTCCAATATATTTATTTTTGTGTTTGCCAAAGTTTGGATCGGTCATCCGCATCTTTGATTTTGATTCCCTCGAAAAAGCAGCAATGTTGAATCCCTAAAATCGGTTTACAAAATTCCTTTATTAAGGGCCTAATTCCCTAAAAAATTCCCAACTTTGGATCATGTCTCAAATCTACCTTGAACTTTTTTTTGTCTCAGAAAAAACTCTAAACTTTAAGTCCAGTCTCAAATATGCCCCGAATTTTATTTTATGTAAAAAATCACTAAAATTCAATTTATTTTCAAAAATATACCCCGATGATTCAGTTCCAACTTGACGTGGCAGTTTCACGTCGATAATAAATCCACATCAACAAAGTAATGGGGTTTTTTTTAGACAAAGAAAAGTTTTGAGCAAATTTGGACTGAACATAAAAATTAGGATTTTTTTTAAATTAAAAAAAATTTGGGATGGATTTGTTATTGTCCCTAACTTTCATATCCTAGAATAGTTTTATTTTAAAGAATTTCAATAATTTTTATTTGGTTTGATTTATTATCGAAGTAGAAATGCGACGTCGGTCTGTACCTATCGCCCCATTATTTTGCTGATGTGGATTTGTTATAATGTGAAAGTGCCACGTCAAGTTGGGACTGAATCACAGGGGTATATTTTTTAAAATAAATTGAAATTTGCTGATTTTTTTTTACCATAAAACAAAGTTCGGGGCAGATTTGGGATTGAACGTTAAGTTTGGGGTTTTTTCTGAGACAAAAAAAATTAGGGGCAGATTTGGAACTAAACCTAAAGTTTTGGGTTTTTTCTGAGACAAGAAAAGTTTTTGGCAGATTTGGGACTTGACCTAAAGTTTGGGGTTTTTTTAAGGAATTCACCCTTTTATTAAGGGTCCGTTCGCATATCGAAAAATGAGTTATTTGAACAATATTTTTCAATCAATAATTGTTTATATCATTTAGAAAAATAAATAAATGGAAAATATTTTCATCACTCACTAAAATAGTTAAGCATAGATTGTTACCGATGATGAAAATAATTTCCGTTGACTAATTTTTCTAAACGATATAAATAATTATTTTAATCACTCATTTTTCGCGAAACGAACACACCCAATGATGCATCAATCATAAGTGGCCCTTTAAATAAGTGGACATGAATCAATTGTAACTTGACGTAGCACTTAATAAATCGACATTATTATAGTACCGTCTAACATTGTCCTTAAAGAATAGTGAGGATACCTAACATGTTGCCACTAGGAAAGGAAAGGAGAAGGGTATGGAAATCATGCTCTTTTTCTCTTTAATAGATGTATGAATAAAGAGCTTTACATCATATTAGATGGCTTATTTTCATGCATTTCTGGTATTTGCTATTCAGAAAATGTCGTGCAATCGACTATTTGGCCTTTACAAGGATCATTGGGTTTTATTTAAGCTACCAAAGGAGCAGACAGTTCATCACTTATATAGACGGAGCTAGGAATTGAGGGTTTTTTTTTTCATAGCTAGGATTTGACCAAGTTATTTAAAGGGAAAATGTTCCAAAAATTAATAAATCTATTAATTGCTAATTCAGCCCTAAAATTTTCAATTTGAGCGATGTAATCTTGAACCGTTTGATGATTTTTTCAATGTAAACCATCCGATCAATTAAGGTCAGAAAATACTAACATGTCGATTAATAAGTGCCGACCCTTCTACATCGCACATTTGGTGATCTGACATGTTCAACTTCACTCAAAACGACATCGTTTTGAGATATTTTATAAATTTTTCTCTTTTCTTTGTTTCTTTTTTTTTTTTCCCTTTTCCTCATTGCTCATCTTTCCGGAAAGAGCTCGTGGGATCTAGGGGTGTGTAACCGGACCGGGTTTACCCAGAAACCGGACCGGCCCACCCAAAAACTAGGTCCAGGAATCGGTTTTCGTTTGAACCGGTTCGGGAACCGGTTCCATTTTTTTTGGAACTAGTTAGAACTGGTCCGATTTCTAGTTCCAAGTGAAAATCCACCCGAACCGGTTTTAGAACCCGTTGTATATGGAGGTTCACTTGCAATTTTATAGAGCCAGAATTCGAAGCATTATATTAGGAATAATGATGGAAGTGATCATTATTTGCGGATAGTCTAACTCAATGGCTTGTAAGCATTATATGGAGCAATTTCCTTTTTCTTAAAATTTTTGTTCTGTAGCGAATAAACTACACATCCAACTGAAACATATACTGTTTTATCACGTCCATTAAATTATTGAGATTAAGATAATATGCTTTTGTATGAATACTTAAGAGTGTTTGCACAATCAAACTTATAACCTTTGATTTGAGTCATAAGTTTTCGTATTTGCTACCTGGAAAAAATGAAATCAACAAAAAAAAAAAACAGATTCTTGGGTAGACCCTAGAACTTGACCGAAAAAATAGGATAGGTTTCAAAACAGGGTTCAGGGCAAACATGGTAAGTTTTAGGTTTCAAAAACTAGGAACCGGTTATAATAAGGTCGGTTTCAAGTTTCGGGTCTGGAACCGACCCACCCTGGAATCGATAACCCTTAGTGGGATCGCTGGGGCCTCAACGGTAGCCGACGAGGGTCACGACCCTAGCCTGTGCTCAACAAGGGTGCACTTGGTTATAACCGTACAAACCAACATCATTGGGATCCGATTTCGAGGGCTTCTTGTTCCCTCCCTTGATTATCTTCTTTAACATCTCCCTTCATCGTAAACCCTAAGCACTAAATTGTGAGACGTATTCGCATGTCTTCTCCTTCGATTGGAACACCTCGTGAATGCAAGAGGAAGGAGGGGCGATGCCAGAGAGATTTGAAGGAATTGCAATGGTGATTGATTGGAATGTCGAGTCAGCTGAGTCCTGATCGCCAAGTTGGCTGGAGATCAAAAGGTTGGGACCATTGATCGATGATGACTTGATGAGGGGGAGAGAGGGAAGGGAAAGGGAAGATGAAAAGAAAAGAAAATCAAGATATTTACATAATTTCTCAAAACTACATGTTTTGAGTAGAGTTAGACACATCAAATTGCCGATCATACCACGTAGGACGTTAGCGCTGATTGGACCATCACAGGTGATTTCCTACCTTTTTGCCAAATAGGCAATATTGGTACATTAGCCAAATTGGAAAGTTTATGGCTAAATTGACGGTTGTACGATAGGTTCAAGACTTTTTTTTACAATTTTCCCATTATGTAGCTAATGTTGACTTTCTCCTAATTTAAAAAATATTTTTCCAAGTTTTAAAATCTAACTAAACAATATAGATTCAATATGTATAAAGGCGTTATGTATAACGTCAATAAAAATTTCTTGCAAGAGAAAAATGAAAAGAAAACAGATAATGGAATAGAATTGTTGATATAGGTGTGAAGTCAGGGTTATGGGCATATAATGCTAAATCAT